TAAATATGATGTGGTAGTATAGTTTTATCTACTCATCATGAACAGATCTGTAATGGAAATCACAGTATGTACCAAACATTTAGCATGAAATCCATTTCGCTTATGGTCCTTTAACTTCTTTCAGTGCAAACAATGTAAGAAATTGCACACTTTCTATAATTTAAACTTTACAATTTAGTGAGTACATCTTGGTAAGTGCAGAAATGATTGTGCATAATTGATGTTTATTTTACTGATGTTAAATAAGGTCAGTAGTGTAATTTGGGGAATAAAATAAATAAAAGCGATCTTAATTTTTGTGTGAAATTGCAAAGTCCTTTCGGAGGAAATGGTCCTATAGGAGGAAAAGGAAACCTGGCAAACCTGTATATGTTAAAAAAATCAGACCATATTAACTGTGTAACGGCTCAACTTTTGTTTACTCACTCATTTCCATACCTTTGAACAGATTTGACGTCAATGTTTATTCATGGTTTTTAAATCTCTCGTAAGCATGCACAGAAGATGATTTGGAATAGTCAGACCTGCTGGCTTGGAAAGCAATTACAATGGTGAATCGGTTCTTTTAAGTGAAATGTTCATTTGTGCATCATACCCATAAGTTGACTGTGGAAATGTTCTATAAGCTACAATCGATGTTAGGTTCTGAAGAGAGACTTTAGGCTTTTCTTCAACAAGTTTGGAAACATTTGGCAGCTAAACATTATATTAAGATCCTTGCTGTGGATCTTTTCTTCATATGTTAAACAATCGGATGTTTGACTCATCAAAATACCTGGACATCAAAATGTCTTAAGTATATAAGTTCTTTAAATTGTTACCTGTTTTAAAAAAAAATACACTCTTCAGTCTTTTCCATTTGTAACATGTTGGTAAATTTTGATGTCGATTTTTCTTTAACTTCTTACCTTGATTTTTTATTTTCCTGATGATACGAGTTTATATCACACTCTGGAACTCTATCCCGCAATCCCTCCGCCTCACCCCCTTCTCTTGCCTCCTTCAAGATCCGTTTAAAGAACTTCCTCTTCGACCGTGCCTTCGGACACCCTCTCATCCCCACCACCGCTGCCTTCCACCCCTCCTGACCCCAACTCCCAGCTCGGGTCCAAAATCCCCGATTGTCAAGCGCCCTGGGACGTCTTTCTGACTTAAAGGGCGCTATTCAAGTGTAATTTGTTGTTATGTACTTTTGGAGCAATTCATCAATGTACCTTCTTTACTTTGGCTCCATTGTCATCAGTTTTGAATGCCTTTCCATCTATCATTGTCAGTCACTTCACAGTGTCTTCTTCACCTGAGCATAACTAGTCCCAGTATTCTTTACCTGAAAGTTTTTTTTATATGGAGTGGTCGACAATAACTGATAACAAATTAAGTCGGAAATAGAACATTTCTTCAGCCATTACAACTTGGACTTGTACAATCAAGTCTTCTACCTTGTATTCTTTGCTTAAAGCCCATGAATTAGTATAAAAATGGACACAAGGACAAACATTAACGTAAAATGGCAATTGCATGGAAGTATGTTGACGTTTGGCAATACTTCTGCTGTTTTGAATCCTTTTATTTAGTATTTTAGTAATAATGGATATACTTTGAAAGTAACAGGCTATGGTTATAACATTGAAACTAAGAATTTTAAATCATAACGGATAATGTCAAGATACGTTGTTAGTGAAGCAAGATGTGGAACTTGTTGTCTGAAGTTGTGCAGAAGTTCAAGCAGAAAGTGTAATGCGTAAATGAGGGAGAAGTAAATTGAGGTGTATGGGAGACCGGCTTAGGAGGGATGGAGACTTGTGCATGGACTAGTTGGGTTGAAAAACCTGTTTCTGTGCTGCAGTGTTCTATATAATTCCATGTAGTATCTTTGGAAGCCTAAAAAATTAATTGTTTCTTCTTTTCCAGTATTGCTAAGTGCCTGCTGACATTATTACATTGCAATTTGTTGATGGCTTTAACTTGTGGTAATGGGTGAAATGAAAGTTTAATGTTTGGAAGGAGATGATTGCACGTAAATTTATGTTCCCTCACCAGAATTTCAAACCCTTGGTAGTGGTAGTCTGAAATACTGTGCCTCAAGCCTGGAGAAAGAGCACCACCGTACTTGCTGACAGCTGGTAATAGTCATTGGTGTTATCAGTTTCTGTTCGCTTAGCCCTGTCTCAAGCAGCTAAATTGGGACTATTCAAATCTTGAGAGCTGCAGTGCTCAGAGTGTGTTGATGTGATGTTTGGTGCAGTAGACAACTCAAGGATGACTTGGAGATTGGAGGCCTGCACATAATTTATCTTTCTTTATGTGGCTCGGCCCAAGCCAGCGTCTCAGTACCTAATTTAACCTGTAACTCAGCAAATGTTACTGTAATGTCTCGGAGCATTTACAGTCTACATGGAAGGTTGAGTGGGTGGTTTGTGGGGGTGGATGGGGAGGAAGGAGATGATCATATTGTTAAGGAAAAATAACTTTTTTCGAGTTCCAATCAAACACAGCTACTGTTTGCAACCAGAGTGGTGTTTATTAAACTCAAGGATCCGTCCAAGTTCCCGATGGGCGTGGGCAAGTAAGCACAATCAATCGATTCAATAACAGAACAGTACTACCGTGTAATCCCTCCTCGTGGTTGTCTACTTCTGACTTCTAGCTCTCAGTCTTCCATCCACGATAGGTACTGTCCTGGCGGCGCCGATCTTGGTCTGGCACGGTGTCTTAAGCTTGTGTCCATCCAATCATGGTGCGGACATTAGGTCACCTGGCCAAAATCATGCTGGGTTCACGTGAACATCTCATGGGGTGTACGTGCCTCACACACACAAACACACTGTCCTTGAGACAGTCCGTTATCTTGTGTACTTGCAGGGCAGTAGTACACATCTTGTCCTTGAGACACTCACGTGATCCTGGGTGTAAACTCATGAGTTTCAGTCCAGTTGCCCCCCCCCACACTTAACTTAAAAGTTAACCAGTTCGCAACATCTATTATGATTCTAAAGTTATACAAAAAGTGTAAATTCTAACAGTCCCCACCTTGATACCGAATGAACATGAGGTATCACAAAACTACAAAAAGAATCTAACACAAAATCAGAAAAATAATACTAGGTTACACAACCTGATAGTACAAAAAGACAGATACTACAAAGTCAGAAAAATAGTACAAGGTCACGCAACCTGGGAGGGAGGATGGTACTTCCAGGAGGCAAACTCTCTTAATGAGCTTTCTCTCGAGTTTCACAGCTCAGTCATAACCAACAGGTTATTTCCAGCGACCATAGTCACAATTGAAATACAACAACATTCAATTACTATCGGTCCCGGTCCCTCTCCTTACCCGGAGGTAATAGAGGATTTCCCACTGACTGTTCGAACGCCTGAAAGTTACTCTATCACTTACGCAATTTCCACATCGACACTCAATATATCAAAGTATTCAAATGCCGTTCCCACGCACATCAGTGCACTTAAATGCGATCGCCAGCGTACTCAAACGCCTGACCGTTATCGAAGCTTGGTCCCGACTACACCTTAGTGTGGCATCCACAGCTTACTCAAGCTTGGCCCCACCTACACATGGATGTGTCACCCACAGCTTACTCAAAATGTTCGTCAAGGCTTGATTGTACCTCCCTTGTCTGTTTACTGGGGAATCCTGCCGACTACGCCAAATTGTTAAGGAAATAAAACTTTTTTCAAGTTCCAATCAAACACAGCTACTGTTTGCAACCAGAGTGGTGGTTATTAAACTCAAGGATCCGTCCAAGTTCCCGATGGGCGTGGGCAAGTAAGCACAATCAATCGATTCACTAACAGAACAATACTACCGTGTAATCCCTCCTCGTGGTTGTCTACTTCTGCCTTCTAGCTCTCAGTCTTCCATCCACGATAGGTACTGTCCTGGGCGCCCCGATCTTGGTCTGGCACGGTGTCTTAAGCTTGTGTCCATCCAATCATGGTGCGGACATTAGGTCACCTGGCCAAAATCATGCTGGGTTCACGTGAACATCTCATGGGATGTACGTGCCGCACACACAAACACACTGTCCTTGAGACAGTCCGTTATCTTGTGTACTTGCAGGGCAGTAGTACACATCTTGTCCTTGAGACACTCACGTGATCCTGGGTGTAAACTCATGAGTTTCAGTCCAGTTGCCCCCCCCCACACTTAACTTAAAAGTTAACCCGTTCGCAACATCTATTATGATTCTAACATTATACAAAAAGTGTAAATTTTAACAATATCGTGGTCAAAAAGGTACGTTTTTGATGGCTTTTGAATACCAAGGAATATGTGAGGGTTTGGGGGTGGGGGTTTGGTGGTGAAATGGGGACAAAGGTGAGTGATGTGGTGAAGGTACAGGAAAGCATGAAAGTGAGCTAAATGTGAACTGAAGGACAAGATTGTGCACTGGTTCAATGAGTTGGGGGGGTGGGACGGAGAGAGAGAGGCTGGGAATGTTGAGGAAATGGGAGTAAGCAGCACGGAGATGTTTCGAGGAGCTGAGGAAGATATTTTCTGACTTGTCTACATCTAGCTGAAGAAAAAATACTCATCCAGGACATGATATTATTTATTATTTAACTTCATTAAACCTGGAATTCAGGGTAGATTTCTTTGGGAAGTGGTTATAGCACAGATGCAAAGTTATAGCTAAACAATTGTGGGACTAACAGAACTGTACAGTATATGGACAGCAAAACTTAAAGATTCATTGGACAAGGCCTTTGTCACTGTTGATGCTATTATGTAGTTGTTCAGCACTCACTGTAAGCTTCTTACAGAGTAACTGAGCTGTGTCCATCTCTGGGGTTGTTGGACATTACCGTCCCAAAGGAGGCTGTATGTTGTTTGTATTTTTTGATTTTTGTATTAATTGTGTATTGTGGCTTGCGATGTCTGCAGGTTTACAAAAAAAAATGCTTTATTACACTTGTAACTACTTGAAAGTCTACATACTGGTAATATTTTCTTGCTCACTGTGCCTTTTTGATCTTTCTAGTTTATCCATAATGGCAGAGTTGCAGAACTTGGTGGAACGTTTGGAAATAGCCGTTCATCATCTTGAATCAATGTCTTTCAAGTTCTCGGGCTGTGGGACCCCACTCGCCAATGGAGACGATGGAGGTATTGTGATGGAAACTTTGTAATCGTACATACATTGACCACTAATTAAATAGATCAAACATTAGAGGGAAATATCAGTTAGCATTGGAGTTATTCCAGTAATGCACTGTTTTGTAATCATATTGCTTTTTTTCTGGTGATCAAAATAAGGAATGGTGGTGCTGAAAAATATATTCTCCCCCAACAGTGGGGTCTCACTCCGGTCACTCCTCTCACTCTGAACAGTAGGATCTCTCTCACTCCACTCACCGCTCTCACTCTGGGCAGTGGGACCGCTCTCACTCTGGGCAGTGGGACCGCTCTCACTCTGGGCAGTGGGACCGCTCTCACTCTGAGCAGTGGGACCGCTCTCACTCTGAGCAGTGGGACCGCTCTCACTCTGAGCAGTGGGACCGCTCTCACTCTGAGCAGTGGGACCGCTCTCACTCTGAGCAGTGGGACCGCTCTCACTCTGAGCAGTGGGACCGCTCTCACTCTGAGTAGTGGGTATGACACACTGACCACTAAACAAGTGCCTTTAAATGGATTGTGATAAATCTTAGCCAGACCATAATGTTCTTCTGTTAGAAGAACATACCCACAGCATCATTGTGAATTTCCACACCAGTTATCAGCTATCTTTATGGTCTCTACAGGGGCCAGGCACTTTCTGCTAAGTTATGGACAGTTTTATTTTGTTGTATACTGTAGCTCATCACCAAGTAGATTAAGAGTTTATTCACTGCACATTTCACAGGTAACCTGTGCAGTCAAGGGAAAAACATTAGACTGGACCAGATTCAAACACAGAATTAACAGTACAACATTTTAATCTGCATTTTATCACCCTTTGCTCTATCAATAACCATTTGACAGTGTAAGTTATTTATCACTCACTTAGAAAGAAACCGTAATAAGCCTGCAATGTTAAGTGGCAATGGGATTAAATCATTTTGGGGTGGAGAGAAGCAGTCACTCATGTCATTTATAGGCATGCAGAGTCAAACCGTATCATCTGTTTAATAAAAGTAGAATGTCAGTATTCAGGTCCTACATATTCCTCTGATTAGTGCATTATGATTTTGTCACTAACAATCTATGATTTTAACTTTAACAATGTGTAAACAAAATTACATGCTATTTGCCCAAATCAGCTGAGTAGTCTGAAATAAATGCCATAATAACTCAGGAATTAAAATATTTCCTCTGTAAGAGCTTCTAAAACGGATCTTTGTCAGCTGCTTTTTGAGTAGGGACTGTTCTATGGATAAGAGTTAATAAATTAGCGGACAAACATGTATCCTTGGAGATGAAAATTTTGATTTATTGCTGCTTGAGTGGTTTGGGGAGGGAATAGAATTCTGTTTTTTTGTTTAAAAAGGGACATTTTGTACAGTATTGAATTAATAATAATAATAATTCTTGAGTTTGATATAGAGTCTTATGTGGTCTTTGAGATATCCCAAAACATTTCACGGAATATACGTAAAGTGAATTGACTGTATATTTTGTGGGCGAAACAAGGCAGACAATTGTGCACAGCAGTGTCCCACAAACAATGATGGACTGAGTGACCAAATTATTATGTTTTTGAAGGAATCATTACCCCCAGAAAAGAATCCACCAATCAACTAACAACTGGGTTCCTACTTATGGCTAGGTAAAATGGCAGCGTAAATGGTGGCTCCCACAGGAAAAAGTGCCTGAAGACATTGTGTGTTTCCCAGGGAACCGTATATATGCAGCTCCAACGAGATCTCGGATCGGAGCCCAGTTTCCACAGATTGGTGTGACATACATATGGGAGACTTGTTTTACATCCCAAGGTGCCATTTACACTGCTGCTTTTCCGGTGATAGCATTCACACTGTCCACTACGTGAGTCACATTTCCCACCTTCTTTGGAAGTTATGGGGTTGACTTCCCTTTGAAATGTACTGCATTCACATCCACTGCAGAAAACAACTTTATTTTATTGCTGTTTGAATTGAGCAAGTGTGTGCAGTGTTCGCTGAATGAAATGTATCCAGATAGTACAGCAACGAAAAAGTCCATTTGGCCCAACTAATCGGTGCCACTGGTTATACTTATTCACTCCCACACCTTTCTATTTCCCTCCCCCTTACTGAAGCTGCATAACATCTGGCTTCTGTGCTCAGTGTATTCAGTGAGATATTGTGGAGGCAACAGCAATTTCTTTGGAAATAAACCGTTTCTGCACAAATTCAACATTCTACAGCTGTAGACAAAATCACCGAAGATATGCGAGGTGAGGAAAGCCCTTCTGCCCATTTGATTTAATCTTACCATAATATGACATCATTCTGTTTCTTAAATTAGTCCAGAGCCCTGAATACTCCTGTGTAAGGATATTATATTTTTGATAACCGTGAGGTTTCAAAATAGTCCAATTTGCAGTGATGCAATATACTGTATTTGTTTGAGCTACATTTCGCCAGAGACTAGGAGACTGATGAGTAAAGGAAACAAAAGGGGAAAATAACACTAAAACAAATTAAGGGCTGGCTAAGGAAAAGGAAAAACTGAAGTTAATTTGGAATAAAGGAAGGAAACCAGAATGGAATTGAAGGATAAGTGATGAATCTATTCGTCAGAAGATGAATTTTCTATCAAAGGTTTGCAGGGCTGTGAGGTAAGATCGGGTAAATGGGAGCAGTTGATAGCTCTTTCAAAGAGCCAGCACAAGCACGATGGGCCGAATGGCCTGCTTCTGTGCTATAAAATTCTATGAAGTAATGGAAACTTTCAAAGCTGCCTCAGAGAAGTGTCTCTGAGATAATCGTTAATCACTTCCCTTTATACTTGTTCTGTAGCATGTGGTAGAAGCGTTTGATTCCAATGTCAGCTTTTATTCACTTTTTTTGTATTTCAAGGTCTGGTGCCGTATGTGGAAGCTTTCGATGCTTTGCTGAGTGGCAGCGTTGCAGAATTTGTGAAGCACAGCAAGATCATAGGTGACGATGTGGAGAAACATGTAAGTAGAGACAATTTAGCACTGCTAGAGCAGGCATTGAGTCAACGAGATGGTAGGTCATAGTTTAAAGCACATCTTCACTTAGCCATGTGGATTTGTACTAGTGTGTTGATCAATAGTAAGAAGAGATTGTATTGTTTTATTCTTGGATATATATTCCTGGGACACGTATATATTTTCTTTGTTGCTGCAGGGCTGTAATGTTATAATGTGCTTTGATATTGCATGAATGTTACAGCCACCTTCAAGATCCACCTCAAGACCCTCCTCTTCGACCGTGCTTTCGATCTCCCTGCTTCGCCCCCTGCCCTCCACCCTCCCCCACCCTGACCCCAAGTTCGGATCCGTAGCTCTGTCTGTCCAGCGCCTTGGGACGTCCTCCCAACGTGAAAGGTGCTGTACAAATGAAAAATATGAAAATGAAATGAAAAATATGGATGGGTTGTGAACCCCATTTGCTGCATATGCACACAGCCTTCCTGCATTCAGGTCAGCTCCCGCATTACAAATGTTCAAAATATGTGGCATTAGGTCACTGCCAATGTCGCTTCTTGTGGGCACAGTGAGTGAGACATCCGCAGAGACCTGATGACACTGAAGTTTGCATCTGTAACTGCCTTTCTGAAAGGAAGTTGAGTAGTGTAAGATGTGCGTAATAACAATACTACTGAAGGACATAAAAGTATCCAGGAGCTTTCCTTATCGCGTAGGCGGTGGAGGGGGGCGATGGGGGCTGGAGTTTTCCTTATCCGGAGCTGTTAAAGCTCTCTTATCCGTTGTGCAGATAACAGGTTTTTAAATCTAGAAAACACCATTACTAATCTCGTACTGGTTGAATAATAATTGATGATAAAAATAATTCTAGTCATAATAATCATAATCTACAGAAGTAATACAGTAACACTCACATCCGTCTTACCTTTATAAATCGTATAATTGCCTGTCGTACAACCATCCGAATCCCATTCAACTTCCTATCAAAACTACTTGGATTTCTGTGAACTAGTCGTATTAATCATCTCCTAACGCTGCTCTCCTACCGTCCATTACTCCCAGACTTACCGGCTGTATTGACTCGCGGGAAACGTAGACTTGACCTGTCGACACACTCACCGAAGAACTCAATTTCCCACAATTCAGTGCAATTCCAATGCTCGTGCGGCGACAGGTGAAGACGCATTGAATCGCGGGAAACGCAGTGTTGGTCCCATCACCGCATACACACTCATACGCATACGCATACTCATGCTGATTGATGTACGCATGAGCAGTGTAGATTATTGATTAAATTGGAATTTATACGATTTCTACAAATGTGCCTATAACTCGGACTTCGCGTAAGTCGTATTAAATGTTATGACTGCTGCAGCTTGTGTGAGTTTTACGGTACTGGTGAAAAGGGAGGAGGGCTTACCTGGGAACACAGGCTTGTAGGAGCGAGCCGTTTGAAGGGAGTGTAAGTATACTTTGCTTGTGAATGTGTCTTGTGTTTGTCTCTGTATTTTTTTGCCTTTTCTCTCCCTCACTTTTTGAGTGTGCTCCTTCTCTCTGTTCCTATCCTGTCACCCCGTGGGCTTACTCTGTACATGTCTCGCATTGTCTTTGTGTCCGTCACTCTGTGTATGTGTGTCTCCCTCTCTTGACTGAATTTCTCTGAGTCTTTCCCTCTCTCTGTCTTGCAAATTATCTTTCAGTCACTTTTGCATAGAACTATAGACATTCGTTTCCCCCAAATTCCCCTCCCCGATCTCCCTCCCTTCCTCTCTCTCTCTCTCACCCTTTGTACTCTGTCACTCAAACTTGTCTCCATCCCCCCCACCCCCCTTCTGCTTCTGCTCCCCCTTCCCTCTGTTCCATGTGCCCTTCGTCTCCCTCTCTCTTTCCCCCCCATTCTCTCTTTCTCACACTTTGTTTTAACGGGACACAGAGGTCAGGAGAGCATGCTGGTTCCGATTAAATTTTTGAGGGAGTAAAAGGTCTACTATTAGGTAAGGTTTCACATGCCATCTTTAGATTCACCAAGGTTCTTTTGAGGTTTCTCTAGAAACTAAACCAAAGATCCATTGCCATTCCTAAGATGCAAAAAAAAAGGCACCGACTTGAAAGGCGCCTCCTCACTGATCCCGGCATAGCCTTCGGATACCATGTAACACTGGGGCGGAGGGAGAAGTGCAGTGTGGATGGTCTGGGTGGGGTGGAAGGGGATATGGGGACGGGGGTGGGGGGTGGGGGTTCAGAGGAGGAGGACGATGCAGCCAAGCGGATATTTTCAATCTTTGAGGCAAAGAAGTCTAGGACCTGTTTGCACTTGGCATTTCATATGAGGGTAGATGGGCGCTTGAGCAGCGGCATGGAGGAAGTGATGGATGGTGGAAAACGGTGTCTTTGGGTAGTTTTTGGCCTCCAGGATGACTTTAAAGTAAAAGTCAGTTTAGACTTGTGAAAGGCTGTAGGTGTGGAGGAGCTCGAGCCACAGCTGGTGGTGAATTGTGAAGCCGGATTTCTGCCATCTGCGCTTGAGCATCTGGGTTTGGGTTTTAAGTGAACAGAGATGGCTGTTGTACCAGCGGAAGCGGGTGGGTTTGGAAACAACCCTGGATTTCAGGGGAGCTACGGAATTAAAGGTTGTGGAGAAACAGTCGTTCAGCAGCTTGATGGCTGCATCAGGATCGCTGTGGGTAGAGGGCCAGAGGGAGAGGAGGTCCAAGGAAGAGAGGGCATTTGTGACGGAGTTGGGGAAGCTTTTTCCAGTTGTGGAAAAAATAGGTGGAGAAACAGCCAGAGGAATAAGGGGATAGACCAAGGGAAGCTTGGGAGATGAGGGCCATCCCGCCATCGGTTGGTTCGGGTGGGGGGTATGGTGAAATGTGTAGCCAGGAGCGGAGGCTTCTACGAGGGGGACAACAACAACAACTTCACATCTTGGAGCACTGTACACTCTACTGTCCTCCCAGCACAGGTCGAGCTGTTTTTAGATGAGTCCAGTGTCCAGGCCTCAAACCACCTCTGGTAAGTAGCAACTCGAGGAGCTGATCCGAGGCAGCGTTTTACGAAATGACGAAACCTCCAGCCAGTCACAGTCGTATTGTGTAACGATGAAAGCAACTTTATATCTGGCGAATTGCCATTCCCAGTCCATGTTTTGATGTCAGCTCTATAGTAACGTGGAGGTTGCTAGGATGATTACTTTGGCAGTGAATGTGCTGGCGGTTTACATTGTGCTGCCTCCAGATTAGTTCCAATGCAAAAGTGCCTTGAAGAACGCTTTTCAGAGTTCAATTCTGGAAATAAATCAAGATTTTAAACAGCCTATTTGGTGCAGATCATGAATTTTTTCTGGTGAGAATCCTGATGGTGTAAGTCTTGCATCAAATCAATTGCTCCGTAGTCTAGCCGGGCTGCGGTCTAGCCGGACTACTGTAGTTGGATAATTTATTATTTTATTTTGAAAGCTCAGACCACCATTAGCTCCCGTCATTGCTTTTCATTACTTACAGTTTAATGTACGGTTGCCTGAAGCCCACAGTCACTGATGCATATATCTGCTTATGTCACAGTTTCTATTGAGAGACCTCACTGGTCAGGACAGCAGACACAGGGCATGGGTTTTCTATGATTGCTGTTTCTGTATGTAACGGCCAATATACCTGAATAAACCTGAAATAATTAAAACCAGGGAATAGTTTAATTGCATGTTTGACATGACAAACTAACGTTTCCTGGGCACAAACCAGCACATTTGCAGAAATTTCCCAAGTAACTGCTTTTTGCTACTTGGTATTTGTTTTGTTTCCATTGAAAGAATCTTACTGTGATTATTTTTACCATTAAGTGAAGTGAAATTCTTTTGGACTACTTTCACGGACCATAATTGTTTACTGTAATTGCAGTCCTGTAGCGTAGTGGTTAGGGCACTCTGGGTTTGATTCCCGGGCAGGGTGAGGGTGCCCAAGGGTGAAATCTTAGGCAAGTTACCTTACTCCACCTGCCTCTGTTTACCTAGGTTGTTAGTCAATTTGTGGATCATTTTCCAGGGGTAATAATTCCTTCAAAATAATAATATTTTAGGCACTCAATCTATGACTGTTTGTGGTACACTGACATGTGCAATTGGTTGCTGCGTTTTGCCCACAAAAGACCAGCCACTACACTTTATAGTATATCCTGTGATGCGTTTTGAGACATCTCAATGACATGATAAAGCACTATATCAAATCCAATCCAATACAAAGTTGCATTTATATAGCGCATTTCTGGAGGACATCCCAAGGTGCTGGGCAGTCAAGAATTTGGACCCGAGCAGGTGGGGTAAGGATCAGGGAAGGTGGAGGGCAAAGAGGATGGCTGAAGGCTCGGTCGAAGAGGAAGGTTTTGAGAAAGCGTTGAAATCCAAGGATTATTATTATTACTCTTGAACAACAGGCGAATGTGGATCTGTGATGTTATTTCAACCTCTTGATTCCTGTATAAATGATGGCCCACAGATACCTGGTTTCTTTCAGCAATGATGATTCGATACTAACTACTTTCACATCATGGCTGGTTGTGGGACATCGCTGTGTACAAATTGGTTGCTGGGTTCAACCACAACAACAAGATTACATTTGTATAGCGACTTTCACGTCGGGAGGACGTCCCAAGGCGCTGGCTCAACTACAAAATATATGAAATGCACAGTTACAATATTTTATAGTAAATCCTGTGAAATTCTTTAGAGTCCCCGGATATGAAAGGTGCTATATTAAATGCAAAGGTTATTATTATCACAGCAGGTAGCAATCAGTGTTGCACACAAAAGTAGTAGGTTGAAGCAATAAAAATTGGTTCAGATGGGAGAAGGCAGCTGGACAAGAGGGCACATGTTCAGGGGTTTGTGACTTGTGATTCACGGTTGTACTGATAGTTTTAAACAATGAAAATTGCAACCAGATAAAATGAAGTGTGAAGTGCTTGTCTAGACACCACAGCTGCTGTTGAGGTCTAAGCAGAGGATTTTTTTT